AAATTCAAGATAAAATAACTTAAAATCAATTGATTTATTTATTTAATAAAATTTTTCCCGGTGCGGGTGTTTGTGTAGATTTTTTTGTGTGTGGGGGAGGGGGGCTTGGCACTTTCCTGCACTAATAAGCCGGGGGGCAAAGGTCCTGGCAGGGGGTAGGGGGCCAGGGGAACCTTGGGGTTTGAGGGCACAAATTTAAACAATGAACTGCCATCCCCATTAATATTACTTTAGGCCACTCGCAACTTTCACTTGGCCGCTGGTGTTGCCTTTTTGTTTGTTTGCCTTGTCGCAGAGCCAAACAAACCAACAAACCAACAGAAGCGGCAGCGTGCTTTTCATGTTATTTTATGTTCTTATGTTTGCGCAGAAAAGTTCACAAGTCAAAAGTTTCGACGGCAGTGGAAAATACGGCACGTAAAGCATACAAATATAATAATATTCCAATAACAATATAAAATCGCTAACGAAAAATAAATTCTTACGAGATGGGTATATTTTTTGAAATGTATCTACAATTTCTTCAAATGCTTTCATTTATTTATTTGGAAAAATACATTTAAAGCAGCCAAATTTTTAAGAACCAAATGTGCAACCTTTTTTATAAAGCGTTTAATTTAACGAGAAAATTGTTGAAACGCTTCAATTATTAACATTTTTCTGTTTAATGTGGAAAATGCATAATTCTGTCAAATTGAATTCCATAGCCGAAAAGTCATTTTCCTTTAACATTCGCACACACGCACAGCCAGAGGACAAATGAAAAGTGGGAAAAACAAAGAAGAGTGAAGGGAAAACAAAAGTTTTTTTTTTTGGACAGGGGCGGTGGTGAAGCAAAGTTATTATTACTTTAATTTTGTGAGTCAGTTGAGTTGAGTTGAGCGTGGAACTTTTCGCTTTTCTGGGGTTTTGATTCTTTTTTTTTTTTTTTAAGAGGGGAGACGGTTGAACCCGCTGCGATTTGTCTTTGCCCAAAGTCAGAGGCGAAAGACCCCTCTGCATTTACCAAACCCCCCTTCCCAGAAACACTCTTCAATCTGAGCTATCCCGTTTCCGATTTTGTTTCTTTTTCAAATTAAAAAGTTACCCGAGTTCCCAAGAAAATGCGATCGGTTTTGGCAACATTCTGCCCCCCTTTTAGCCAAAAACCCACCAAGAAAAAAGTTACCACGTTTGCGTGGCAAAAAAAGCAACAGAAATAAAACACAGAAAATAATTTTGTAAATTAAAATAAAGTAGGTTTTATACATATTGCTAAGATTAAAATAGATTTTAGATCAACTTAAAGTCACTTTTCTACCCCATTTTTAAGGATATTATCATTTTTGCTTAGAGAAAATAAATTAAATTTTTTAAATGTTGTATTAAAATGCTAAAAAAATGTGTTGTATTTAAAAGAAAAGGTACCCCTAATTTATTTTTTGTTTTCCGTGTAACAACCGTATTTTCATGTGTAATCGTTTGGATTTTCTGTTTTTTGTTGCTGCCTGAAGTTTAATATGTTCCCCAAGGGCCTCATTAGTGGCGCCCCCTGCCGGCTGTTTCCCACCTCCCCCTTTGTCCTTTATTTTCCTATATTTTCCCTTTATTTTCCTCTCTGGTCACCTAATATAAAAACATTTGCTCTTGCACTATTTGACAAGGTTTTCTCTGTTTGAAAATCTTTTTTTTCTTTTTTTCTATTTGGGTTTGTTTTCCACCGATTTGTGTTGATTGAACAAGCCAGAAAAAAGGTTAGCTAGGGGAAATAAATAGATAAATAAAAGAAATCATTGTTGGTCGAATTGCTGTCGACTGAACTTTAAAGTTTGGGACCTCTAATGAGTGTTATTATGGGATCCTTTGGTATAATCGAGTGATGAAAGAATAAAAAAGAAAGGGGATATGGGAAAGAGTGGAGGAAAGTTTTCCCACCAGGGAAAACACGCTTTGTGTTACCAGAACATAGAAATTAAGTTACAAGTTGGCTAGAAACAAGGCCATAATTGAATCATAGATGGTAATAGATTGAAATTGATTTAAGGGTATAGTTAAAAAATTATCTTTAAAATGGTTACATGAAATGATATGAAATACTTTATATTATCTATCGATTTGTTTGCCACTTAAGGAATTCATTGTTTTCTTCCCATTAGCGAATTCGCAATCATTTTTTTATCCAATCAAGTTTCGATATCATTCAAGTTGATTAAAATATATCAATATTTAGTTAAATAGAATCAATCAATTTTTTTATTTACATTTTATAGGGAAATAACGTCCTAAAATGTATCGAAATTTAAATATCGAAAACTAATATTCATTAGATTAAGATTTGTTTATCGAAACTATACTTCATTTTTTTATCCAATCAAGTTTCGATATCAATTAAGTTGATTAAAAGGTATCAATATTTAGCTATCGAGAATCAATCAATTTTTTGATTTAAATTTTATAGGGAAATAACGTCCTAAAATGTATCGAAATTTAAATATCGAAAACCCATATTCATTCGATTAACATTTAATTACCCTTGATGTCCAAAGAGTAGCCAGCAAATGTCCCACCATCAAGGGAATGACCTTGCCGACTACCAAAATGTTCTTTGATTCGGGGTTTCTATGCCTGAATAGTTTTTGGTGGCATACTACATGCACATCCCTATATCCAAAAGATATATATATATATCTTATATGCTAATGCCTTGATTACAATTTCACTAATGGCGCCAATTTGTTGTTGCCGCCGAAGGAGCGGAAGTAGCGCCAAAGAGCGGACAAAAAGACGTCACAAAAGGACGCCAAAGTGAAAGGAAGTAACGCCGTGGAGAAGACAAGGCAGTCGTAAAAAGAAGAAGACAGGGCCCATAAAGTAGCAAAAACCGAAGACGCCAGGTTCCCGAAAAAAAAACTATATATAAAAACACAAAAATACACAGAAAACTGGTGAAAGTGCGGCGGGAATAAGGAAAACTGAAGGCGAAATGATGCCAGAGCCGATGGTTAAGTAACCAGGAGAGTCGAAATGTGGGTGGGAGGTCCTTTTTCCCACTTTTCGAATCCGTCAGATACAACACACAAACGTGATACGGCAGGAATGTGGCTAAAAACGGCTGAAAACGTCTAAAAAGCGGTACTGTCAGTGTGTTTGTGTGGTAGGCCACGGACCAAAAGTCTGCACAAAAGCGGCTCAAGCCCGGAAAAACGGCTCGGAAAATCGTCTCCAAATCTCACTTTACTCAGTCACTCAGATTCGGTGAAAACTCAAACTAAAACGTGCTCGGAAATCACTCAACACAACGGTGGTGGGTCAAAAACGGTGAACTGTGATTTAAGTGCTACAGAAATATGAAACTGATAACTTAAAAACGGAAATTTAATTATTATCCATAAAGAAATCTTACTTCCAAAAATATTTTTTCACCGCTTAATAAAAAGAATGCTATTTTCAAAACATTGATTTTTAGAAAGACAATGCAATGTTAAATGAAATACATTATGGCAAAGATCCGTCCAGCAGCTAAAAAATGGTCCCTTCCACCTATTTTTAGGATTTTCTTTTGCCTTTTTGTATACTAATTCACATTAACTTTTATCAATTACAAAAAATAGTTACTTTTTTTAAAAAGTAAGATCTTTGGCGCTCGTCGTGAAGACCCCAAAAAAATACCAAAAAATTTGAAATGAAAAGCATAAAAAGTTATAAATTTTTTTTATAAGCTGTTTAAAATCTTATGGTAATTATATTTTCTAGGAACCGTAGACGCCACATTTAATATTCCTGCTGTAACATATTAAAAATTATTCATTCCCCCAAAAAGTTTGTAATATTTCATTATATTTAATATAACACATTTGCTTAGTCAACGTTGGTAAAAGAATATATCTTTAATAAGTTAAACTTTGTAAGTACAATTTTCCTACAAGATGCGAGTCATTTATTTATGTGAGTTCCCCAAAAACAGTGACTTATAAAAGAGCTAAATTCTCCAGTTCTCCGGGCTAAGAACTCAAAGAGAGTGCAGCAGTAAAAAGCTCTCTCGGGGAGAGCATTTTCCATCTGGCTCTGATGACCAACTCAATGTTGAGTAATGGCCAAGGGAAATCTCTCTCGCAGTTTTCCCAACGCAGGCGCTTTTCTCCGGCGGCAGAACAATAAAATTCAATAAAAATAAGGCAGGAAAATGTTTGCCGACAGCGGCCAGCCTCTGGCCCTTAGTTGGCCCAGGAAAATTCAACGCCCACAGAAGGAAAACAAAAAACAATTCTGGCCCCCATTTTTCCGGCTTCTCAAGAGAAGGCAATGAACATTTTTACAGAATTTTAATTTTATTTTTTTCCCACTCTCCAAACGGCAACGAGCTGAGAATTTTTAATTGCTTTGAATTCGGGAGTTTGTTGTTTTTTTTCCAGGGGGTGGCAGTGGGTGGTGGTGGGTGGGGTGGTTCTGGTGGGTGGTGCAAGAGAAGGTCACTTACCTTTTGTCTCCTCGGATTCTGCTCTGCTGCTTCTTGCTCTTTGCCAAATGCCGCCTATGCTACTTTGTTGTTTATTTTTGTTTGCCTCCGATTTTCCTTGATTTATTATATATATTTCAATTTATTCACGACACTTTATTTATTTATATTTAGTTTTCTGACACTTTAATTATTTAATTGCCCAGCTTGTTTGGTTTTGGTTTTCTATGGCTAACTTTTGGCACTTAATGTTTTTAATTTTTAACTTCACAGCTTATGGCTTCATTTTGTTGTTGATTTGATTTAAGCACACACACTTTAGGCACTCGAAAAAAATATGATTTAGCAAAATATGGCAGCCTATTTATACGGATTTTCCCGAATATTGCTCTTGATTATTGCTATTCGCGGAGAGTTTTCCATTGAATCATATTTAGTCTGCGGTCTTGCGGATGATTTTTCCGCATGCTGCTGCTGCTGCGGCCAAGGAAAACTGCCTTTTCCGCGTTACATTTGTTGTTGTTTGGGCTGGCGCTTGTGTTGTTGTCGTTTTCTATTTTCCTTCTTTTTTCCCCCGTTTGGTTTCTTGTTCTACTGCATTTGTTGTTGTTTCGTCTCTTTTCCGCCTTTTTGCTCTTTTGGCAGCTTTTTTGTTGTTGTATTTTGCAGGCCGAGAAAAACCCCCTTTTGTGTGAAAAGCCCGCGATAAAAAGTGCGCAGCCGCCGCTCTTTCACTCGATTTTCACACTCAACAACTCACCTCAGACCCTCGAGTTATATTATCTTCCAGATGCCGCCGCTTCTTTGTTGTTTATCAGCTTCCGTTGGCTTATCGCCGCAGAAATTTCGGATTTCTGATTTCTGATCTCTGATTAGCACAGTAACCGAAAAAAAAATGAACAAAAAATTCGAATTTTCCCTTATTGTCAAGGATTATTACTATTATTATTATTATTAAATCGGAATTATTTTTCAGCACACGCGTTAATTTTCAATCAGAGTCTTTATCAACCGCAGACTGTAAACAAATATAATGATTGTATATATTACATATATGGGCTGTACTATATATATGCAGAATCACACACGACCGCACAGATAAGTGAGCTTATCGGTTGCCTGGAACCCAGTTTTACTATTAGTATTTTCTGTACTTTTTTTTGTTTCTACTATTTTTGTAATCTGTTTAGCATTTGTTTTTTTTTTTATTCGTTTTCCAGACCAAAATCGGGGATCGCGTTTCGCGTCGCTTTCGGGATGATCGCTCAAGCACAACGCGCCAAAATCAACTGAAACCCCACTGAAATTGAATAAAGCGAACAGCCTCTGAATTGGAAACAGAAAAAATAAAAAAATAAAAAAGTAGAAAAAATGGAAATATAGAAAATAGAACGGCGCACTGAACGCCGGAGGGAGACGGGCGATTTTAATCGCGCACGCAAAAAAGTCATAATAAAATTGAAAATGGAAATGAAAATGAAAATGAAAATAAAAATGGAAAGCGAAAACATCATCAAACGTGAGAGAAAATTAAGCGGAGGAAATGGGAAATCACGAAGCGAACAAATCTAAATTAGAATTGAAGCAAATCAAAAAGATCACGAAGCAGTTTTTAAATTAACCCTTTAAAACCGCCTTTATATAATTATTTTTATACAATATCTTTTTGAGGATTATATGAAATATTATTATTTTCAAATCATTTTGACCTTTTGAACTTGAAATAATACGATTTTTAATTTTAAATATTTATTACATATCCCTAGAAATGCCATAAATAACAAAAATCATTTCCTGTAGTGCCTACGATCAATAAATAAATGGAAACATCTAAAACTGATATATAGATAGTATTCAAAAATCAAAACTAGTTCAAAAAACTCTTTAGAAGATCAAAAGAGATCTCTTGGTAAACCAACAGATCGCAGGAAGTAAAAGATCACGATGCGAAAACATCATCATCAAAGGCTGTACGAGTTCTCTGAACAAATTTCCCAATCAATTTGAGGAGTCAACAAATAAAACTTAAATATTGACACAATCCAAGTTCACTGATCACCGATCAATCAAGAAGCTCTAACTACTTAAGCAAACACACTTCATAAGTGATTGATTTACTAAAGGGGGGAACTACGTAAATGAAGTGGGTTAGGTTCCCATTGAAAGATCGAAAGTATGAATGATTCTCAGAGATGGCAATCTAGCTAAATCATTAAAATTAATAAAGGCTGTAATGATGCCTTGAAAATATCATTAACGATCTCTGGGAAGACACAATTCAATGCTTATCAGTTCCATTAGAAGATAAAATCGGACAGAGAAGTGCTCATCTAATGATCATTATAGAACATTATAAAACTTGTTTAGATAACTTTATCACAGCTGCTTGAGAGATAAGATATCTGCAAGGCGAGCAAGATCTTTAAGATATTTCTATGCATCTATACATATTGAAATGTACTTTTGAATATGCAATATATTTTCTTTACTATAGGTAAATTATTATATAATGTTTTGGATATATTTAAGGGCTATCAAAAATGTATCAGACTTTTTTGGGCATTTTGGAACATTGGAATTGAAGTCTTTCCAAACTACTAGTTGCAAAATCAATTGATCATCTAATCGAGAAGAGTCACATGCAGAAATAGGGCAAAAACTTGATTGTCGTATGTCGCTGTGGATGTTCAATGATGATCACAGCACAATCACAATCACAATCTCAATCACGATCTCGATCACGAGCTTCTTTCTTATTTGATTTTATATTGCTCGCCTGCCGATCTTCGCTATGACAAAATAAATTTGTTTATTGCCGCCGCTGCTGTCGCCGTCGTTATTGTTATTTTTATTATTATTATTATGGTTATGGCCCCTGCTATTGGCATTACTTATTATAATTGCAATTAAAGAAGCACGAAATCGAATTGTATCAGCGATTCTAACTGGAATTGCCACTGAAATCGACTGGGAATCGAGTTCGAATTCCGAGATCCGAGTTCCGAGCAGAACGAGCTACGTAGCCCGACTGAATCTGAGTTTCGACCGCCGTTGCCTTCGAACCGCATCGAAAAAGGTCGGAAAGTGTTAAGCGAACGTCACCAAAAAAAACGGGGGGCGGTGTGGGGTTAACAGGGGGTGGTAAGAGCCAAAAGAAATTATGGAAAACAGCAGGAAACGGAAGCTCCCTAGGATAAATAAAACCCAAAATAACCCCTAATGATTAAAATATATATAAGAATATATCTGGTAAAATTATATAAAAATAGTTAACGGATCAATAAAATAATCAAGGCAAAGGAATATAGGCATCCTTTTACAAGCAAAAAATTCCGTTAACATTTTTTTTAATTCATTAGTTGGATGTTTATTGATATGAAAGAAATAAATTACTTCTCATATCTTATCTGTTTTCTAAAGCACTTGCTATCGCACTGTTATTAAGTGGTATTAACTGAAAAGCTATAAAGTGATAAATAAATAAATTAAAGTAATTATTTTTGCCCTTGTTTGCTTAGTTATTCCCTGAGTAAAATGTGATAGAGTGCGTTAACTTAAAATAATTACAAAAACATAAATGATATTGGATAAAACAAAATTCAGAAAATAAATGAAGGGAAAACCTTTGGCTATTTTTCCCCAAGTGCAGTCGGGAAATTGTGCTGCACTTTTGTTGCCATTGACGTTGTTAACGATTTTCAAATAGCGCGCGGCAGTTGACACCCCTTGACCCCCTTGACCCTTGTTCACAACCCCCTTTTTTCAGTGTCGTCATTAGCAACGTTGCCGGCAAAAAAATTGTTATTTCTGTTGTTTGTTTGACTTTCGCCTCGTTCGGTTTTCGTTTTGGTTTTTGTTTGCCCCATCGCCCTATCAGTTGGAACTTCTGCACATTCTGATAAGAATACACACCCCCCCCCCCCACCCTCTTTTTTAGGTTTTTTTTTTAGGTAGTACACGTTAATTTATCGCAATCGTTTTGGGGAAATCGGTCAGTTAATGGCTGGGGGCTGACCACATGGCTCATTACCAAAATGGAGCAAGTGCTGCCGGCCCGGGGGCACCATACGGTTAAAATAGGGGCGGGGTAGGGGGCCTTTTTGGGTTATATGCTAGGAATTTCGACGTTTCGAATTCCAATGGGAAGGGTCAGTTTTCTGGGATTTTATTGAAGTAATTAAGTAATTATTAGTGAAATGTTATCTTTATTAACTTTATGGTCTGATATATATTAAATACATTTATTTTTAAATGGAAAATTAAAGAAAGCAAAAAAAAATGTTAAAACCAAAATATCTTGAATTGGAAAGAATTTCAGTAACAAAAAATTATGTGTGAACATTTTTCAAGGCTAGGAAAGACTCTAACGCCAGTTACAACTTTAAGACTTTTTCAGAAAGTATTTTCCCAATCGGAAGAAAGATTTTCAATTGAGTTTCCCAATTTCCACACAATTTTGTTCTATATATACTTCGAAATTATTTACCCTTTTTCCCCCACTTTTCCCAAAAACACACTTCATTCTCATCAGATCCAACCGAGTGTGACATTTGATTTGATTTTTGCCTATATTTCATTTTGTTGTTGTTATTTTTGATTTCGATTCGCTTATAAAAATTCAATATATATAGGCATGCATATACGTATATGCAAAGCTCTGCGCAGCAGATATAAAATATGTGCACACAGCCACATGTATCGGCTATATCATCATTGTAGATATAATTCCACATATCGATGATATATGCGCTACACGTTTGTTTTTGCTGTTCCTATGGACTAAATGCGTCAATTAAATATAAAGAGTAATAATAAATAAAATATACAAAGCGGGGTGAGAGATACAGATCGCCGGATTCTCATCTCCTGCATGGGAATTATAAATAAATTATGATTTTCAATGACACTATAAATCGAAATACTTGCAGGTGCATACGGAAGGCGAAACCAAAATAAATACAAAGATCGTTGCGTTGAAAGATTTAGAGCCCAAGAAAAACTCAATGCTTGGAGGCCAATTTTTGGATCTTTAATCCACCGATCTCTACACACGGCGTCTACATAATATCTATATATGCATTTTGATGCCCATTCTGCGTGGTTTTAATTTATTTGCAATTTGGTTTTTGGGATTTTTACGAGCTTCTTTAATGACATTTGGCTGAATTTGGATGGTCAGGGGACTCTCTTTATAGAGAGGGTGCCGGGGGATCAGCTGTCTAGCTTGTTACGTGCCTCATTAAGAATTTTCAGGTTTTAATTGACAGAACAACAAAATCCGCACAGAAATAAGACATAAAATCAGAATTTGATTTCGCTTATTATAAATTTCCAATGCTTTTTGACTGCTCATTAAATTAGATTTTCCGCCACAACAAATATGCCAGGGTCGAGCCACGGGGAAATATATTTTATTCAAGCATTCTATGGAGGAATTATCGGCATGATTGCAAATGAGTTGGTAAAAGAATTTTATTTTTAAGGTCAGGTCTGGTCAGCTTTTGTGTCCTTTAGATGATAAAAAAAAATTTGTTTTAATTTATTTCAAAAATAATAAAAATAATAATGATAAATAAAGTGTTTCATTAAATAATACAAATTATAATACTAAAAATTAAAAATACTAAATTCATTAAAATTTAAATCATATAAATTTCATTCATAAATTCATTAAATTAATTCTTTAACGGTCTTTTTGTAAAAGCTTTTACATTGATAACAAAGCCTTTGCTTTTTAAAAATGCATTTAAACCCAGTTAGCAACAAGTAAATGCATATTTTTAGGCTTAATCACATAAGCCATTTTCTTGTATTGAAAAAAAAATATTCATTTTTGTATTCTATAAGAAATATTTATTTTGGGAATGCCAATAAATAATAAAAAATAACATCGGATCGAAAATAAAATTTAGTTGAGCCACAAACTTATAACATAAAATAGTATACCAACCTTCACTAAATAAATATTTTTTAAATTTTCTCCCTGTTCGATCGCTGCCAATTTAATTTAATTTATTTGTTTTTTTACTTTTCCATTTACCCATTCGCCGCGAGTTGTTCAAAGAATTTCGTTGTCATCTTCGCTTTTTTATTAGCACCATTACGCCAAGTGGATCGCGGTACATGTTCTGCCTCTCTCTCTGTCCGGGCTTTGCCATCTCTTTCTGCCGTTGGCTGCTTCTTTTTATTTATTCATTTATTTATCAATGAATAAACATAAAATTAGCCAAACAAATCGCCCAAGAAGTAGCACTCTTGTCACACAAAATAAGAAAAGTTAGGCACCCGAAGCAACAGGGGTTTTCATTAAGAAGTTACGATTTTGTTTTATTTCATTAAATTTTTTCATTTTGAAACTCTTGAAAGTATTTGTACTATATTTCGATTCTTTTCTATATTTTTTTATATTTTTTGTGACTGTGCCAAAGAAAAAATGAAAAAGCAACAGGGCTTTTAAAGTTATGCTTAGTTTTTAAGGCCTACAAAAATCACCGATTTTAGTTTAGGGTTAATTTCTTTAGCATTTTTCAAACAAATGTTATATTTTCATTATTGCAGTTTTTAATAATCCTTTTAACAAACTTATTTTAGTTTGAAATTTTTTACTTTTTACTAATTAAAGTAAGAAAGTAAAATCATTTTGAACATCAAAATTTGAAGGCCTAAGAAAATAAGATATTTTACTTTCAGCTCTGGTTTAGTTATTTCTTTTAAGTTATATCGTTAAGATACTGCTGTGCGGTCGTGTGTTTCATATATTTTTACATATTTTTAGTTAGTTTAAATTTGTATTTTTACCTATTTTTTAAGAGCGGTTACAGGTTTGTTTTTAATTATATATTTTTAATTAGAACACTTGCAAAAAAAGAATAAAACCAAAATCGCGGCATTTGCGCGTGCGAGCGAGATGGCGCGTTGGCACGCGTGTTTACCGTTAGACGCGTGTGCCGCTAGTACCGTTATTGCTGCGTTTCCGTTTCCCCTAATTTCAGCCGCGTTCTGCCAAACGATTCGTCCTGGTCGACGACATGCGTGCAAATAAACGAGAAAATGCCGAGCGATGCGCTGCGAGCTAGAAAAATTCTACTCATTTTGGTATCCCCATCCCCACAGCCCCCACATTCCCCACCAATCCCCCACATTTCACTCAAACTTTTCTCCGAGTGGAGCGCAAAACCGCTCTCTCTCTAATGCTCTCTCTAAGGGTGAGAAAGAGGGACTGAGTTTCAGCTCAAATCGCATTTTATTGAGTGACTACATTGCTCTTGCGCGTCGTGTCCGTCTCCTCGAAGAAGAGCTCCAGCAGATTCTTCTTCAGCAGCTGATCGCCGTCCAGACGCTCCGGGCCCTTCCAGTGCAGCAGGGCCGGTATCCCGTCCACCGAGTAGGGCGGATTGCGGAACGCGTTGTCCTTGCCCATCCAGAACTCCCGATTGCCCACGTCCACCACCAGGACTATGCAGTCCGCGGGGGCGTTCGAGCGGAAGGCAGTCATTATCGTGTCCTCGGCTGGAAGTCGAAGTGGAAACGGGATTACTTATCGGGTTTATGATATGGATATTACAACATTTTAAAAAATCTCTTTTAATTTCAAAATTTCCCTTATTATTGTATCCTCATCTATAAAATGGAGACGGAAACGGAATTGCTTTTAGTAATAAAAAATTTTAACTTATTCCACCTTTTTTTTATGAAAAGAAATGCAATATTTTATTTTAAATCTTATCGTATTCTTGAAAGCCGAAAACAAAAGGCACAACAAAGTGACTTGTATACATTTCAGTAAGTTTAATTTAAAAAAAAAGGTAAGTTAAAAATTACCTAATCATGCCAATATTGTTAAAACCCCCAAAATACATTAGAATCATAATACGAGTAAAAGCTATAATAGTAGCCAAGAATACTATAATAACCCTTCAAAATAATCCCGTACCATACTTGGGAAAACTAAGTTCTTGTGTAGCTATACATACGTTTCTTTAATTTAAGATCCAACTATACAAGTAACCAAATACTGCAGAAACCCGTCTAAATCAAAATATAAGTGCTTTAAAATAAAGTACAAGCTCTAAACCAACTACACTAGAAAGTAAATATTGTATTAACCCTGCAGGGGCATTGACCACCCACCTGACAAAAATCTCCTAACAAAAATCTTGAAAATATACATAAGGTACGTTAAAACGAAAAACAAAATAATCCTTACTAGTAACGAAAGAGTCTACAAAATGCAGGTATCGTCATCTACCCATTGATGCAAATGTATCTAAAATCACCTATGTATAGTCTGGTACCTTAAGGGGAATTCGTCCCCTAGATGATACACTGCTCTCTAAAAAACCTTTTTTAAAAATATGCATGAAATCCCTATAGTCTGGTAAGCCCAGGGAAATGCGTCACCCATACGAACTAGCACCGCAGGGGAATTCGTCACCTAACCTTCTTTAAACAAAACATTTTAAAATACGCACAAAATCCCTATAGCCTGGAACCTTATGGAAATATATACATAAAATCAGCTATGCTCTGGTAACTTATGGGAAATTCATAACCTATGTACATGACCTAGCGCTGCAGGGGTATTCGTCACTTCCCCATTAAAAAAAATGTCCAATAGTCTGGTACCTTAAATCAGCTATACTCCGGTACCTTAGGGGAGTTCGTTACCTACCAATTAACAAAAAACGTATATAATAATACTCTATAGTCTGGTTCCTAAATGGGTAGGTCCGGTAGGTTATATCCGCTAACGTAAATTTAAAACGGGGAATTCGTCTCCTACCCGTCTATAGAAAAAATTTTAAAATATGCACAAAATCCCTATAGTCTGGTAACTTAAGTGAATACATAAGTCATACATACATAAAGTCAACTATAATCTCGTATCTTAGGGGAATTCGTCACCAATATGACCTAGCAACTCTTGGGAATTCGTCGCCTACCCCTTACAAAAAATGTATATAAAATCATCTGGTCGTACCTATAAAAACTGGCAATACTGGGGATTTCGTCATCAACCCGCCTTAAGAAACATAAAGTATGGATAAAATCCCTATTGCCTGCTACCTTGAGACACATATGTACATAAAATATGTTACAGTCCGGTACCTTAGGGGAATTCGTCACCCATATGAACTATCAATGCTGGGGAATTCGTGTACCCGTAAACACTAATTTAAATAATGTATACAAAAGCACCTATAGTCTATCACCTTACGGGGAGTTCGTCACCTACTCGTCTATAAAAAAAAACATTTTAAAATAATCATAAGACCCCTATTGTCTGATAACTTAAGGGACTATATACAAACACAAAGTCAACTATAATCTGGTACCTTAGGGGAAATTCGTCACCTATATGAACTAGCAATGCTAGGGAATTCGTCACCCATACGAACAACACCGCAGGGGCGTTCGTCACCTACCGGCCACGCAGTCCGGACACCAGCTGCGGCCCTGCTTGTCCTTCTCGCCGTAGAAGTAGATGTAGATGGGGCAACGCTTGGTGTCGTAGAGCTTGAGGAGGTTCTCCATCTCCTTGAAGCCCCGTGCCGGTACGTATTCGGGCATTATGCTGCTGTATTCCGGGATTTTAGTGCTACTTTCGAATGGCCGATGTGCCAGTGAATGGAATTCCGGGAGATGGGGATTCGTGGCGATTCTGCTTCCAGTTCCAATCCAATCTTATCTGGATCTTATCGCTGGTTTCTATGGGTTTCTTAGCCTCCGCTTATCGGCCACCGGCAAGTTTATCGGTTGATCAAGGGTGTATAAAATCGCTGTTTCTTGTGTTTTTATGTTTTTTTGGTTTTTGTTGTTCTTTTTTGTTTGCGGCTATCTCCAGCAATGGTGGCATCCGGATTTTTCAAAAATACCAAAACGATTTTCACAAGCGGTCACGCTAAAACTCAAGGTGGGTGACTCCGCTAATTTAAAAATACCGTGTGCTAAATATCCTTGGTATATTACTCCGAAATAATAACACAAAAACACCACTAGCGGTGTCACCCACCGCATATGTTAGTGAGACCGTTTGTGTCATATCACGTACACACACCATCACTAATTGCGGGGTGAAATTAGGTGAGTTTCTCATTTAAATGTCTCTACACTGTGGCTACATTTTGACATTTTGATTTTGGGGTCGTTCCCTCCAATTGCTAAAATTTGTTTAATTTTTAACAATTCAACAGTTTATTTTTCCTTATCTCAATTTTTATGTAGGCTTAGATGTTTATTTTAGTTTATCTAATACTACTTTAAGTGCAAGTTCACTTCAATTTGATAATAAATTATACCCTTTAATTGTAGAGTAAGTACGTACGTTTTTTAAATAGTAGCATGAAATTTGAAATAAATATGTGTCAATTAAATAATTACCTATTCCTTTGTTATCTACATCAACGCTAGATTTTCAAGGCTAGGATTCATTTCCCTCCACTTAAGAACTTTCGAAGGTTTTCCGGTTAAATGGGTTCAAAAATAATGTTTTTTTTATAAAGTCTTCGTTAATGTCATTTTAAAAACCAACAAAAAACCATAAAACTAAAACATAAACTTTTTTATTTCGGAAGTAGTCTGTTTTTCTTTTATTTGTCTCTAAATGAATGAATTGCAAGCGTTGGGTGAAAATTCTGCATAATCAGGGATTACCCTGACACAATTTGTCGGTTCTCACAACTTGAACTTCATTGGGGGTCGCTTTCCAGTTTAAACGAAAAAACTAGGCCTTGAAAAACTGCCAGTGAAGTGAAAAGTGGCTTATAAAATGGATGGCGCAAAAAGCAGAAGTATTCAGTGTGTCGAAGATATCAAGATGGGTAAGATCTGGGGCTTTAAAATAAAATAAGTGGAATCGAAAAATACATTTATATAAAGAAAAATATTTTTGTGACTGCTTTTTCCAAGTGAAAAGTCTTAACACATATTTTAACTTGTTTTGAAAACACTTTTTTTAATTTCAAAAATGTAACGATCTTAACAAATTAGAATTTGAATACATTTCAGCTACCCTTAAGTATTCCCTGCTGCTTTTGACGCTTTTACTAGCTGTCCATTTGGAAGCCTCGAAAATAGTGTACAAGAAGCCGCTCTACGGAAATGGAAATAGCATCAAGGATAAACGTATGAAGAGTAAGGGTCTTAAACAGGAAGTCACCACCATGAGCAGCACCACCACAACCACCGAAGAAAATGGGCCCTCCGCCGTGGAGTTTGTGATCATAACAACGCCCAAAAGCGAGCTGGATACCAATTCGGAATTGATGAATAATGGTAGCATTAGTATTGCCACCACGGAACCGAGTGTTTTGGAGGTCACCTACCCGGGATCCTCGGAAGGATCCTCAAAACCTGGAGAATCATCCACAATCCCAACAATCGCAACCACATCGAGCGGCAATTTGGTCAGCACAATTCCCTTACCACCCACACCAGAATCTCCAGCGGTTCTCTCCCAGCACGATAATCAGCCGGTTCCCTGCACTTGTGGCGTCTTCCTCTCCTCGCAAATCCCCAATGGGTTGCCCACAAAACCACTGATCCACCAGGAATTGGATCGAATGTTTCCCTGCAATGCCATCGGACGCAAACAGTGCCAAACTAAGTGTCTGGAGGCGGTGAGTACTGTACAGTAAACATCCAAAAATAATTAATGACATTTTTTAACTTAGAAAGAATTTTAAAATTCCCTTGAAAAATGTCTTAAAACCAAATGTTTAATTCTCGGTGTCACAAAAAACGTTCAAAAATCAAGTAGACAATTTAAAACCAACCAAAAAATTTCCTAAAATGAACTCCGAAACACATATTTACTTCGAAAACTCTACAGATTTTGTGACTCCAAAAAATATATGTAATAGTTCCTAATCGATTTTCGTACAACGAAAGTTAGAATAATATTTGTCCCAATACATATCATTACAGTAAACACTCCATAAACATACCTATTAATTCCAGATCGTTCAGCACCTGCCAAATTCCGCAAATATAGTTTGCTCCGCTTTGGGTCACGATTGCCACAAGGAACGCGCCTATTTGTTCATCAAGAACTGTCATAACCAATGGGTTAATACAAACCTACAGGCGGGCAGGGAGTACTGTTGTAGGGCTGGAGTTCCCTACCGGTGCCCTTTAATGGGTTAATACTGAGGATTTTTAATAAATGATTGATATGAAAAGATACATGATAGTTTTTTAAACAGGGAATCGGGATATGTTGGCACTGGTAGTTATTTAAGTGGTTTAAAAGGCAATATTTTTAGTAAATATATTCATATATTAACCCTTAGTATACAATTTTGTTTTTTGTAAAATGGCTTGAGTCCGGGCTGGATTTGACTGTAAGGTATTTGTCTTGGCTAACCTGTACCTACGTATTTTTATGTGGTATGTTTTGCAGATAACAGTTTATTGGTGATGTGTTTGGGGTATGAATAATCAAAACAACCTGGTCACTCTGTGCTCCAAAATAATTTTTATTTATTAGATTGATAAAAATTAAGGAAAACAAAGCACCCCTTGGAAAATAGTTCAACACCAGCAAGTAAGTTGGACATATAACCGACAGAGTAGAAAACGCTAAATCTAAATCAAATCCAAAATTAGCAGGTTTTCCTTGAAAACTACAACCATGGTGTGCGTACCTTGCTTTATCATTCCACTGCTGCTGTATATTTGGCACAAGTTCATTCAGCCGATCGTTCTGCGCTACTGGAATCCCTGGGAGAAGAAGGATGCCGAGGGCAATGTGATCAAGAAGGGTCCCGACTTCCCCTTCGAGTGCAAGGGCGGCGTTTGTCCCTTCGTTCCGGGGTCCAAGAAGACCCCCACCATTGACGGTGATGCCAAGGATTCCGAAAATCCTCACACAACAACGAGTACAGCAGCAACACCGGTGGCGGAGGAAACCAAGAAGGAAATCTAGTCGACTTTTAACAACAAATATTATCCTAATATGTAGTAATTTTTTTTGCTTGTCTATAAGAAAAACCACGCACACAACACAAACTAATTCAACATCATCAGGCGATGTGTGGTGGGCGGCGGTCGGTTTGGGGGCGTGGCCCCGAGGGAACACTAAAAACACTTAACGAGTAATTATTTTAAATTAAATGTACACCTTGACCACACGAAACCACTGTTCTTTCCTATGGGTTTATGTAGGGGTTAAAGGTTAACTTCACAAGGTTCCACTAGTTAAAATAATAATAAAAAAACTATATTGTGTACTGTCTGGTAAATCAATTTAAGCTTAAGGATATTCCTTTAACGGACTAAAGAACCTGAAGAATTCGCGGTTGGCCCCATTACCATTTTTCCTCTATGCATCCCAATCTTAAATTATTGTGTTAAATAAAGGAAAACGCATTGTTTTTAAAATAATTATTTAATATTTATTGTTTATCTCAAAAAAGTTGGATTTTTGTTTTGCTGTCTTGCTGTTTAAGTTAGGAAAACAAATAATTTTACAATTTACACATTAAAAACTTACACAAAATATAGACGAAAGAAAGCATACCGTTTAAATTATAAATAGAGCAATCGAGCAAGAAAACCGTATCTGCGGACTTCTTAGTGTCTTTTTCTGTTGTATATTTTTTGAAAATATCTATTTATCAACTTAGATCGTAAAGGGGGCCTTATATATATAGAAAACTTGGCTGGTTACTGTCTTTTTTATTGTTTTTGTTTTTTTTTTAAATTAGCATTATACTTTTATGTTGGTGATTTTTGTATAATTTTTGCAATCATTTTTGTTTTTGTCAACTTAAATCAAACAGTTATGAGAATCTTTTTACAGTTTAGCTTAGTCAGTATGTAATAATACATAATAGTCATAATAATAATAATAAAAAAAAAATGTTGGTGTAAAAAAAAAGGTTTGATGCGGTGTACGTCTAACAATTTTGTTTATATAAGCACTTCAGTTTCGAAACCTACAGAACTACGAAATATATATATTTATATAGCATGTGGGCCATAGTTAAATGTAGAATTCGATAAAAACTTAGCCTAGCCTTATGGCCTAGTGATATAATGGGGGCTTACAACTACAAATGTCCCACCAACGTTTAATCGATCAATCAGAATTTGCGCTAAGTTTAGTTTCTCGTCTCTCTGGTTATGTTATGTTGTTTTTTGTTTTTTTTTTTTTACTGGAAGCTCCGATGACGTTACGACAATAAAATAAAATGCGCCACAAAACGAGCTCTTAACTGGTATATCTATGAGTAGATATATATATCTATATATATATGCGATCGGCGCACTGTACAACAAGCATAAAAATAATTTAAGTTACTACAATTTATGACGCTTCTTCCGCTAGAATTGCGTATTTCGATCTAAAATCTAAAACTTATAGACACACAAAAAAAAATAAGGTAAAAGTCGCGTGGAAAAATACATAATCGTAGAGATTAGAGAATTACATTATATAGCATTTTAGATAGAACGTAGCCGCGGACTCTTTAAGAGTCCCTCTGCTGTCATCCTTGGCAAACCATCTATATATCCACCATACATCCCTTCACATCCAGATCCTGATCGGCTTATGGTCAAATGTAGATGGCCTCGGATCCCTTGTTGGCCTGATGGCCACCGGAAATGTAGAGATTATTGGCCGCCGGCGACTGGACGCCCTCGCTCCAATCGGAGTTGGATCTCGGCGATGACGAGGACCAGTGGCCGGGCGACTCCGGCGAGGGCGTCGGGTAGCTGTCCAGCGTCTGGACCAAATGCTGCGGCGTATGGCCGCCGGAATGCTGGCTCGGTGGCGTTAGGTACTGGTAGAAGGCCTGCTGGTTGTGCTGCGACGACGGCGACAGCATGTTGGTCGACGGCGACGAGCCGGACATCGAACTTTGTATCGAGGGCGGATTCATTTGACCCGAGTGAAATGAGTCTGTAAGTCAAAAAAGATATAGTATTAGTTTTCATATCGAAAGATGCAGATACCCAAGAGGAACACCCATTAATATCTTGACCAGCAATCATAAAATATAATATTGGTTCTTAAGATCGTTAAAATCCAACAGTCCGATCATTATATCATAATTGCCTTGTGACCTACCCGGAGATCCACAAAATCCATTCAGGTCCAAGCCCGCTGAACCGAACTCCAGGCCTCCGAGTTGCTGCTGTTGCTGCTGCTGTTGCTGTTGCTGATGTTGCTGCTGTTGCTGCTGCTGCTGCTGTTGCTGCTGCTGTTGCTGGGGGGATAGCGTCTGCATTATTGCACTGCTCTTCGAGGATTGCGGCGGGGCGAGCATGATGCCCATATCGCTACCCGTCGGCGAGATGATGCCCAAGCTCACGGGCGAGTTCTGTGGCCCCTGGCCACCACCGCCTCCTCCTCCGCCGACGACGCCCCCTCCATTGGCACCGCCCAGCAGGCTGTTGAGATTGCTGCCACCGAACTGCTTCTGCTGGGTGGCATGCCTCATCGCCTGGATGTGGGTGGGCGAAGTGGGCAAGCTGGGTCGCGACTTGGCCGGGGATGGAGAGCCTGAAACGAGGGAATAGATCGATTAATACATGAAGTCATTATGATAAAATATTTAATAATTGCCTGGCTTTAAAAAAAATCATTTAATAATATTATTAATATAAGAAGTTTTTAAAGTATTAATCAAATGATAATATTTGCAATTATTTTTTTAGCATACAAAATATCTTTTCAATTTTAAGGGCTTTAATTCTAATAAATAAAACCTTTAAATCATACAAATCACAAAACTTTTTATATTTTACTACAATAATTATAAAGAATTAAAGATAAATCTGAATTTAAACTCACCCAAGTAGGCGTGGGGCGAAAGCGCCAGGCTGCTCTGCACCGAATGCGGCGGCGATTGGTTTGAGTACGGCGGACTGAGTCCCTGCTCGTGGCTATTTCCGTTTCCGGCTCCGGTCAATCCTCCCATTCCGCACAGACCGCCGGGCAGGACGCCGGGCCCGACTCCGTTCCGCTGGCCATTCCCATTCATCCCGAGTCCTTGGCCGTTGAGCAGCTCCTGCTGAAATGGCGAGCCCATCGAGTAGCCGTAGTTGTCCAGCTTGATCATGTCCAGACCATTGCCCTGCAGCGATTGCAGCGATTGCGCATTCTGGAATGTGAATAAAAATAATATTATTAGAGAAACTTTTGGATGTGGAATCGGTTAAAAAATTGAAGTATGACTGCAGTTATTTAAAAAGAAAGAAAGCTCAAGAATTCGCGGTTGGTATAAAAACGAAATATGTAACCTCCTGGTGATAAAAAAAAAAGAGTGGAATTATACTAATAGGCTTTAGAATATGCCAGAAGGATATTGTAAAGAAAAAGGTTTAAGAAACTGCAGTTAATTAAGTACACGGAGAGCTCAAGAATTCGCGGTACGTATGAAAAACGAACTAGGTAACCACCAGGAGGCTATGGAACAGTACAGAAAATAACTTTGTAAAAAAGAGACTCGGGGTTTGAATGAAAAACGAAGAAGGAAACCTTTTGGTGGCCAGAACCAACCCCTTCTAGTCTAAATTATAGGCAAAATATAATCCTTCTCTAGCGAATTTCGTTGAAACTCCAAAAGATGCTAAAGAATTCGCGTTTTTCGTCACCGCACACACTTACCTTGATGCAATCCTCATAGCTCGGCGGCTGCTTGGCGCCCGTGTTCGGATTGCCGTTCGCCAGCGGAGCGGCCATCGCGTTCGAGTACATGGAACTGGTGTCGTACGGACTGGGCAGATTCCCGCCCATGCCCACGCCCACCGGCGAGCCCTCCAGCTCGTGGGACATGGCCGCCACTGCTGCCGCTGCTGCCGCCGCCGCCGCAGCTGCTTGGGCCGCCGAATTCGAGGGCGGTACTCCCGGTACGCCCTGGACTCCCGTCAGCTGGCCGGGATTGAGGCCATTCAAATTGGCGGCCTTTTTTGAGGCCGCACTTGTCTTTTTTGAACTGGCCTTGCGTCGCAGACTGCCCGTGGCATCCAGCCCATTGTCGGGACTTCCCTCGATCAGCTTGGCCTTCTTGGCCGCCTTCTGTTTGGCCGTCTGGCTGCTCTGCTTGCCACTGGCATTGCTGTTGCCATTGCCATTTCCAGCGGAAATGACGGTGGGCTGGGTGATAAGCTGCGGCTGCTGCTGACCCGGCGGCGGGGATCCAATCATGGCCTGCGGTGTCATGCTCAGCATTTGCGGAGAGCGCGGCACATGCTCGTCGAGGAGTCGGACAATGTCGTGATGCAGTCGCTCGCTGGCCACATCGCGTGGCAGTCGGTCCATGTGGTCGGTGATCTCGCGATTGGCAAAGTTATCCAGCAGCGCCTTGCAGGCCTCGTAGCTTCCCTCGCGGGCGGCCAGGAACAGTGGCGTCTCATCCTTATCGTCCTGGGCATCCCGATTGGCATGGTGCATCAGCAGGATGTTCACTGCCTCCGTGTTATTCACCGCCGCCGCCCAGTGGAGAGCCGTCTTGCCCGAGTTGTCTGCCGCATTGATGTCCGCATCGGCGGTTATCAGGTCCTCCACCATGCCCTCGATGGCCAGACGAGCGGCGAGGATCAGAGGGGTTGTGCCATCGTGCATCCTGGCATTCAGATTGGTGGCCCTGTTCCTTAGGAGTATCTGGAAAACGCCCATGGCATCGGCAGCCACGGCGGCATGCAGTGGTGTCCTGCCTGTATTATCCTGGCAATTTGCATCCGCTCCGGCATCGAGTAACCTCTTGGCCGCATCCGCTCGTGCAAAGCGCGCCGCCAAGTGAAGCGAAGTCTCTCCCGTTTTGTCCATAGTGGCATTCAGTTCGGCTCCCTGGGCCAACAGATCCGATATCACCTGGGCCGTACTATCCTCATTGTTCTCGATATCCTCGCCGGTGTCCAGACCACCACCACGCACGGCGGCAATCATCAGGGGAGTCAGTCCACAGGGTCCGCGGGCATCCACATCGTGCTTCCCGCCATCCTGATGCGCCGGCGGTGTCATAATGGCCCTCACATCGGCCACGTCCAGGTGGGCCTGCGACCACACCCTCTGATCCGCCTCCTCGTACTCACTGACCATTGTGTGATCGCTGGCATAGCCGCCATTGTTGCCCAATCCCACCACGGAGACGGGATCACTTCGCTGCCGCTTGGGCAGTGGCATAT